TCAGCTAATTGTCCGACTAATTCACGTCTTGTTACGCATCGTGACGACGAGGATGAAGTTTGAATCGTTTAGAAAACCGTAGACTAGACTCTATTGCTTCATACATCAGTATCCTGCGTTAACGAAGTAAGCGATTATCACGGAAATCTTGGAAATTCCTTTTTGTCGTATAACGAATCGAACCAAATAAGGATTTCTCATAGCGATCAACTTACATAGAGATGCAAAAATAATTGTATTTTGCTAGTTATCTTGCGTCTGAATCATATCGGACGTTATTTGAAGAGTAAACGTGCCTGCCTGACGCAATAAATCAAATTGAGGGAACGAGGATGGTTGGACGAGCCAGGAGATACAGGCGAACAGCGTTCTAAAATATGCAAGGGCTGCGTACACAGGGGGCGGAAGAATGAGAGAAGAGGGGGAGGGGGAGGGAAAGAGAAAATCGAAAATCCCTCGTCGGAACAACCCTTGGGATAATTTAGATTCGCGAAGCGGAGCCGAGTGATGCGGAGGTATGGCAACAGCCGAAGCTGGCGGTAGAAACGCCGCTGGTGTGTATTGATCTAAACGGGAACCCGTGAAAGCAATTAAGATAAGGCACGGTAACAAAGGGTTGTCGGCTGCTACCCGCTTTTCACCGTAGGAAAACAGAAAGAGAGAGAGAGAGAGAGAGAGAGGGAAAGGGAAGCGGGCGGGGGAGATAGAAAGAGCTAGCGAGCTTGGTGGAAGTAGATACGCGATAGAGAAAGGACGTAGAGAGCTGGAATCAGAGGGTCAAAAAGCATCCCGGAACACGCGCGACCGCTGCGTTTTCATTCAATCCCATCGTTCCATGGCAACAGAAATATTCGAATTCGTTAAATAATTCTTTAATCCGTCGATCCTTTCCACATACTTACGCATTACGGTGTAATGCATTTGGATGAATAACATTGCATCGAAAGATATAAATAAAGGGGAAAATCAGTTACGATTAGTTGACGCTAATTTGTATCGTTAAAATACATTAACCGAAACTGCAAATTTTACCTTTTGCAAACATTCGAAGTAATTGTAATTAATAAGGGATGGAAGTATAATTAGTACTTGAATAATGACCCAATCGATTCTACATCACAGTCGGTAACATGACGCGGGAACCGGCATTTATTTGTTAGAAAGTCTGAACGGGGCAAACAAATGCTAATGTAATTCATCGATTTCACAGGTTTTGTCATGTACATGTCATTATCATGTACTAATATGATGTTTTATACAAACGTATGACTGAATTAAAAAAAATAGATCACAACAATCAAAAACTACATAAAAGCATAAACCGATCGTGTAAACAAACGAGCTAAAATACTCGTGTAACAAAAGATTTAACTATATTTTACCGACGAAATATCCAATTTCAAATCGAACAAATGATGCGTGCCAGCACTGTGGACAAACTATCTTGGAATAAAAATTATATTCGCATGTCAATGTTAATATCAAGTAGATTCTTAATCCTAACCTAGTTCAAGCATGTTTTCAGACGTTCGCTCGCATTCGGGGAAATGGATTCCCAAAATCCATTCAATTTTTCTTCCATCTTTTTCTCTTTTTCTTAGGAAGAAAAGGACGCGATCTTTTTTTAGTCCCTACGGTGTGGCGGATGAACCATTCCAGATGCAAGACGAGCAGAACTGAGAAGAGTAAACGAGAAGAGAAAGGGGAGGAGGGGGAGAGGGAATCTAGAATGGCTGCTCTTTTAATTCGAGGGCGAATTCTGCCGGCAGGGTCGAGCTTTTACAGGGATGCCAAGGGGAAGAATCTAGAAGAAGACAGCTGAGTGTTACCCAAGGGATCTGATATCGACACCGAGCTGTAAGAATATCCGGCCCTCTTCTGATTTACGAAAGAAATCGAGCCAAGAGGTATTCTGCGTTGTTGATATCGTGTTTCGCTTCGTTACGGACGCTAGTTCTGCTCGAGTGCTTTCAGAAAGGTCGCGTGTCAGACATTATCGTATTGTCAGATCCTGAGAAAGACGATCGTTGCTCAAAGACCTTGGAGTTCATTTCCTTTGCATTTTCAAAGGTGAAACTTTTCTTTCCTTCTTTCCTTGCTGAAAACATCGAGTCGACAACGTCGGTTTGTTACCTTGTATTTTATTTCACTAAACTACGGTCGCATGAAAACACATTGCGAATAAAAAAAAAAAACAAAAAAGAAAGAAAAGAATTAAGCGCAACCAGACGCGCGATGTCCAGTCGAAACCGGTTTTTAAAAATTGCATACTGTCAGCTATATCGTGTGCAATGTTATAACGCGACGCATCCTGCGATACGCAATTTCGAATTGTTCCACGTAATTCGAGGACAAACAGGAAGAGGGGAAAAAAAATTTTTTTAAAGCAGCAATAACAACGGAGAACTAAGTAAAATATCTATTTTAACCCGACGGCGAAAAGTAGACACCGCAACAACAAAAGTTCCTGGTCGCATTCTGAATTTCTTTCCACGGATAATAATAACGTTTCGGATAGACGACAGGGTGCGCCGCGTTTCCGGTTGAGACGCGCGTCCGCTCCTCGTTTCCCGTTCCTCGCGAGCCAGAACTTTTCTACGATTTCTTTCGCCCTTTGGCAATTCCGTGCTTCCGTTTTCCAAAAAGAATTCTGTGCGAACGATTTCTCGCGCTCGCTCGCTCGTTCGTGGCGATGTTTTTCCATCGTCGTCGACACGGCTCCGTGTTCGCCTCGCTCCGCTTCGTCCCTCACCCGTTTCTCCTTTGCCCCCCCCCCTTACCCCGCCTTTCTTGCATTCAGGCATTCGTTTCCTTTTCGAGTTCCGCGCATCGAATTCGCTCGACCATATCTTCGA